TTAGAAGAATTGGGGGTTGACTACGAGAAGCCAATGATGCTCTACTGTGACAACCAAGCAGCTATCAATATTGCACATAATCCTGTTCAACATGACAGAACTAAGCACATTGAGGTTGATAGACATTTTATAAGGGAAAGAGTTTCCTCAGGAGAAGTTTGTTTGCCATTCATCACATCAGACGAACAATTGGCTTATATCTTGACCAAGGGAGTTCCGAGAGGGAAAATGACACAGTATATAAGCAAGCTAGGCATGATTGACATCTATGCTCAGCTTGAGGGGGAGTGTAAAGAGACTGGGCCGAACGGGTCCTACTATCTTCTCTTGTAATATCTTTTCTTTTTCTTGTTAGCTAATGGGCCTCTCTTAATGGGCCTGTTATTTCTTTTTTGTTTGATCTCTTTATGTTACTGCCTAGCTGGCCGCCCACTTAAGGGCCTTGTAATTACTTTAACATTAATTCTTAATAAAAAGGATTAGAGAAGAAAGGGAAGAATAATTCGAACCTTTCTTCTTCTTCCTCCTCTTTTCGCCATCTTCTTCTCTTGTACTGCTGCTCTTACTTTTCTTCTTCCTTTTTCTCTCTAATTTTCAAATTTACACCTAATTTTTGAGGATTGATTTACATCTTATTCTAAGTTAAGTGATGTGTCCCACACTTAAGTGGGGGTACAATAGTCATTGTGTTTTTTGTTTAGAAAACTATAAACAAATCTGGCTGACTAGAGAGAGGTGATTTCTCTAGTTTGAACCAATCTTTCCTTCTACCTACTCTTCTCTTCTCTCCTCTTCTCTTTTCTTCTCTTTTCTTCTCTTCTTTCTCTCTTTTCTTTTTTTATTCTGAAACTGAAGCATATACAGATCTGAACTTTATCAAAGTTAAATGTGAAGCAAAAGTAAGCAAGTATTTACAATTAGCCCTTTTGCACTCCTATTCATTAACATAAGTACAAGTGAAATTTGTGCTACAAACAAACAAAGCCTTAGGAACTTCAGGAGTTGGGTCGACCATGAGTATGTCGAGTGATGGTTAAAATTCCAGATAACCACAATGAAGTTAGATAGATGGTACTAACTTTCTTGGATGGTCTTAGTCAAGATGTATGTTTGTGGACTTGAGAAACTAGGATATTTTGCTAGAAAATTGGATCACCCAACAATGATGGTCCAACCTATGAAAAACTGCTAAAAGAGAATTATATAATGATTCCTTATCTTCTCGACTTATGCAACCACATATCAACCGAGATTCTGCAGCCTTGATATGAGAAAGGGCTACAAAGACCTATCCTCAAGATTATTGCTAAGATTTATCAACTTCACGAGGAGATTTTGAATAATTGTCAGGTGAAAAAGAGTTTATCATCTCTCTTCCAAAGCATCAGTGTCATCATCCAAACCTTATCCCGACTACATTTGGTCAGCAACATGAATCCTGTTTTGCCATTCCGCTCTGCTTAATGTCTTATCCATTGTTAAATTATGGACACTTAAATCATTTAGGGGGAAGAATTAGACTACCATCAAGTAATAGCTTGGAAGAATCCTGAGGATGCAAAATGATATCATGTTCTAAATGAGCAGAACAGAGTGTTTGAATTTCTCCTTTTCTTCTCCTTGAACCATTATTGCTGATGCGATTCTCTGGCAACACTTACCAGCTCCTTGTAAGTCATCATATTCAACAACTACTAGGCTATGCATCCATTACCTTTTCTTGACACTGGCACATGCTTGTGCCCAGCATAAGTTTTATAATTTTTATCAATTAAGTGCTCACATCTTGTTTTTAATGATGTAGTCATGTAGGTAATTATGAATTAAACAACTTAATTGATACCTGCAGAAGTCCATAGAAATCAGATTGATTCCATATGACAACCACTGTAGGGGGATTTTCATGGTAATAAGAGCAAAAAAAGTATATATAGAAATTCATAATATCTCTTGAAATTCCAAATAAAATAAACAAAGAATTTTTCCTATCCAGAAAACCTCTCTACATTTTGACAAAGAAAACAGCATCTAATATCTGATTTTTCTGCTCAATAGAAAAAAAGGAAAATTTTCACTATGTTTTTTTAGTATTGCATTAAATCTCAAAACTATACAAGAAGTCTCATTACAAAGAGAATCTGTAAAAGTTTTTCACTATGGTTCAACATGTAAGTTATACATCAAGACATGGATTAATTCAGCCAAAATGGGATAAATGCAAGTCAAAATACCTGCAGCTTCTTGGCCAGTCATTGCGTCCACCACAAGCAAAACTTCTGTGGGATTCAATGCTCGCTTCACTTCCTTCAACTCATCCATCATTGCTTTGTCGATCTGATAATTTTTCCATAGAAGAAAAAAAGTTCATATTGGACAAAATCAAGATATATTTCCTAAACTAAGCAACAATGATTTGTCACAAGTATTGGTTTTTTTTTTTTTTTTGAACCTGAAGTCTTCCAGCAGTATCCACTATGACCACATCTTTGTTCTTCTTTTTGGCCTCTTCCAGACCCTGCCTAGCTATTTCTGAAGGTTTCACCTCTGTCCCCACCGTATAAACAGGCACATCTACCTGTCAAAAGCTTATAACTGATTATCAGTATGAACTAAATGATTGTAAGACTAAAGTACTAAGAGAATAAGAAATTTTGACATATATAGACCAAAAAGCTTGTTTCTTTTTGGACAAGTTATGGCCAGAAAGATTAGAGATTTTTTGTACATATTTACATATATTAGCAAATAAATTTAATGGTTACTGATAAAAAAAATAAAAAAGGAAATACATGATTGGACATTTTCAACATTCAAAAGTTCCAGACCCAGGGATTGCCTAATTTAACTAAAGCAAAATTCTGCTTTTTGATTGGCAGGTAACAATATGAAAGAAATCTATACAGTAACAAGATCAAATGAGAACTCCAAATTTCAAATTGATATACTGTCTTGTATAATATAAAATGTGATTGAAAAATTCTGAGAGAGGGAGATCCGCAGAATGCAATTAGGACATCTGGAGGTTATACCATGCGACTATTAAGCCACTATCAGGATGGCTAGAGCTATAGTATCCAGAATGAATAGCTTGTACAAATGGACTCAAAGTTCAGATTGATTGACGGATGTCAGCCTTGTTTGGATTGTTTTTGGGAGGAGTTACTTGTATGGTGGATTCTTCCCCCAGGATAATGCCTTTACTTATCAAGACTACTACTTCAATCATGTATGACTCTTCATTTTCTAGACTCTCTAGGCTGCCTTCTTTCTCTTATAAAACCTTTCTATCACATAAAAGAGTTCTTAGTGACTGATAACCAAAAAGATGATGTTTTGCTTGCAATCTAATTTACCTTTTCACCCAAAATAACAAGTTGATCAATAGCAGCAGGCCTGTATACATCTGCAGCAACAAGCATGCAACTCTTTCCCTATAATCAGCATTACATGGATTAGCATCAAAAAGATCAAGATTGGGCAACCTATCTAAATGTATCTGAAACCAACCCAACAAATGTACATAACCACACAGGTTATCATACTCCACCTGCTTCTTAAGATAAAAAGCTAACTTTGCACAAACAGTTGTCTTTCCAACACCTTGTAGACCTGCCAATAATATCACTGTGGGACCAGATTTTGCAAAAACTAGTTCAGATACTTCCCCACCCATTAACTTGACAAGTTCATCATGTACAATCTGCACGGATCAAGAATCGGACATCAACAGATCCAATACTGTTAGGTTATGCAACCAGCATACTTATTGTGCTAGACTTATCAAAAAATAAATAAATTTATTGTGCTAGACAGGAGAGGATTTTTTTTTTTTGATAATTGAAAAGTTATTTCATTACCAATATGTAAGCAAAGTTAGAACACCCCAAAGAGAAGCACAAGGTGTGACCTCTATTGATAGTAAAAGAAAGTGTAAGAAACCAAGTACACTATAATCAAAACATTACAAAGTTGCCCAGTATAGATGTTCCCTCAAGACCCCCTATTTAGTGAGACTATCAGAAATAGCATTTTCTGACCTTCTCACCCACATGAACTAACATTCATGTTGCTTGTTAACCAGCTTGCCTTCTTTAGGAAATCCTTGTAGCACCAAATTACTGAGCTGGGGTCTGAGAGAGGAGAGGATTTAGAAATCCTTCTTTTCTCTTTTTGATCATGAAACATTAGAAAAAAAAAAAAAAAAATCTCAAACTGATTATAAACATCCCCCCCCCCCCCGCCAGTAGGATGAAATGGAAAAATTCCCAAACTTAAATCATGATCATAGATATGAGACATGAGAATCACCAGCAGATTGAGACCCAACGTCCAATTAAAAATTTGTTAATGCTTATTAGGAAGATAAGGAACCAAAATGGCTAGGTTAATTTCCTCAGTCTAATCCCATAAGCATCAGCATGATTTTCTCAGAAATAGCATACAATAGATGGATCATACCTTAACCAACTGCTGATCTGGTCTCACCCCTCGAATTAGTTCAACACCAACAGCTTGTTCACTTACAGCCTGGACAAACCTTCTCACAACAGGCAGACTAACCTGTCCACGTAATTGTAGTCAGACCTTTTTCCACTCTGTCAGTAGAAGAAAAACTGTAGATTTCCTATGAGTATAATGCAAATCATACTACACCAAAATGCATACATCTGCTTCTAAAAGGGCCCTCCTAATATCCCGCATGGGTTCCGCAATATTGTCCTTGGTCAGAACCTCTGAAACATAGAAACTCCATAAATGAACAACTTACAATAAAGATGGTAATAAGAAACTAGTTCTTTCATAAGTAACAATTATGAGATTTTATTAATAAAAAGTCATTGGATCCCTTGTACACCATATACAAAACAGAGTAAAAAACCCAACCCCACATTCACACCCATATCCAAATGCATGCCTGCTAACAATTTGATAACCCATCTACCTAGGAACTATAAACTAGGTTAACTAGTAACTGATACTTTTATTTAGAATCAAATATCCCCTTGATAATATGAATGTGTTACTTGTCCATATTAAACAAAGATCAATGAATTAAATCTAAGCTCTCTTTGGCACTATGTTCTTTTTCTTGATGATGTGGGCCTATACCTCGATACCTGTACAAGGGTTCCATGTCATGTCAGATAATTCAAAGTTTAGTGTATATTCTATGTATGTGTTCTTGCCATTTCTGGTAACATAAGGTGTGGCACCATCATAATTTCAGAGGTCTGATGTCTCTGATTGATGACATGAATTCAACCCTGAATTAGAGTATTAGTTAAAACACCAAAGCACTATATTCATGTTTCACTAAGAAAATCAGAGAGTGGTGGGAGCAAGCTAATCCGGTAGTTGATTGGGAGGGAATGAGGTTCCACAAGAAACTCCAATACTTAAAATCTCAATTAAAGGAGTGGAATAGGCTGGAGTTTGGAAGATTAGAAGAGAGAAAGCAAGTTCTGGTGGAGCAAATCGAGGATTTGGACCTGAAGGAAGAGAGAGGCCCTTTTGGAGAGGAAGAAAGGAAGTTGATATGGGTTTTAAGGAGGCAGATGGAAGACATCCTGATTAAGGAGGAAATCAGTTGGAGGCAAAAATCTAGGTGTAAGTGGCTAAAGGAGGGAGACAGAAACACAAGGTTTTTCCATTCAGTGGCAAATGGAAGGAGAAAGAAGAATTACATCTCTAATTTGGAAGTTGATGGAGCAGTTTTGTCTCACCCGGCTGAAATTGCAGAGGCTCTAGTAAACCACTTCAAATCTATTTTAGAAGGCCTATGAATGAGAGGGTGTGGTTGGAGGGTTTGGATAGGCCAACTCTAAGTGCAGAGAAGAGAAAGTGGTTAGAAAAATGGTTCGATACGGAAGAGGTAAAGGAAGCAGTATTCTTTATGGATAGGACAAAAGCTTCGGGTCCAGATGGGTTCACAATGGCCTTTTACCAGGATTGTTGGGATATTTTGGAGAATGATCTTASATCRRTTTTTGAGGAGTTCCACAGGAGGGGTGTAATAAACCCGGGCTTGAACTCAACTTTCATTGCCTTAGTCCCAAAGAAGAAAGATGCTTCTC